GATTCGATTCTCACCCGCATTGGAATAAGCGAGACGAACAACAACTGTCTTAGCAAAATACATTTACACAACAACAAGTATGACCTAATTATGTTCAACTATGTTCAGATCCAATTCCGACAGGCTCAATTTACAATAAAAAATATATTGCATTGTTTTCTTAATAAACATAGAGATTATTTGCGTGCCTATAGCGTAAAAATCTGTACTCTGTGCAATTATAACCTATCTCAATCTATAACTCAACTAGACGACCGACGCAACATCGTTACTCACGAACATTCGTGATAAATAATATGTTCTGATAATCGTCCGTCACTTTAATCAACACTCCCGATAAAAACTCACACTCATTATATACTTTTTACGGATAAAATTCACGATTAATCACAGAACGCACGCACTTTACATTATGAATTGACTGAATGTAAATCATTTCAGTGATGGAAATGAAGTGCGCGCAGATCGATATATCGATATACTTCGATTCAAGATATCGATTGCCGCGCGCAATTTTTTTCGATTATTCTACATTTTTTATTTATCATATATAAATTGTATTATAAAAGTAATTAGCGCATTTATAAAAAGTTAAATGATATAATTTGTATATTGATAAGCTTTTCTTGACATTTATAGCGTATTCGATTCGATAAGTTTCGGCATAGACTGTACAAACTATTGTCCACATATATGGAATACGTACAAAATTTACTGCCTTTTAGCCGTGGATGTCGTGGAATTCCACGACGAAATTGTTTCAGAACTATGTGGCTGCCTTTTTGTTTCGGTAAAGCTACAAAAATCCTGGCGAACGACAGTGAAAAAATGCTCTTCTTCCTTTCGCTGCCGTTTTGGTTCCGTGGTTTTCGTTCCGAGAATTTTCGTTCGTCGCAAAACTTTCTCGTCGACACGTACACGCCTACACGAGCGGTTTTTCGAATATTTTTAATGCCAGCCGCTGCTAACGAGTTAACTTGATGAATGGCAATATTCCCCTCCTATTATTACATCGCTATTTTATCGCGACGCGCATAGTTCTACGTATGGTATCTAAATTTTCAACACCGTCATGCCTTTAATTATTCAGTCCTATTTATCATATATTTACATAACAATAAATAGATGTTGTATTAATAAATTTTGAAATAAAATTAGTAATATGATATAAAATATAAATTTTATTTAAAGATATGTTTCGGAAAAGTAATATAGAAAAGTATTAATAAATATGTTTACGGCGACATTTTAATATAAACAATTATAATCAAAGAGGCCGCAATAAAAATAATACTCACTGATGTCAGATGACGTTTAATTCAGTTAGCAAAATATTTCTGCTTCGTTTAAGAGGAATTTAAAAACGCGCGATTAAAAGATTGGTTAATTTATTCCATGTATAATTTTTTGCCGCATCGGTGATTGTTCATAATTTCAGTTTATGTCATTTACGAGTGGATTCCCAAGCGCGAGGAATTCAGCGGAAGACCTCGATAAGATCTCAATTGCCTCCACATCCTTCACGACCTTTCTTTCGTTTGCGGTAACTGTTCGTAACTGCCGTACAAAAAACGGTCGTATACTCTTCTTATCCTTCAGATCCTCCTTCATTTGCTTTCAACGAAAAGTAATTATTTGAAAGACGATATACCACCGGGTTTCGCGTTACACGGCGATCAGCATTCGGCAATCTGAAACGCCATATTGCCATATGCATACCATTACTCGAAGAACATATGCATGCATCTTTTTACAACCATGTTTTATTATGCAAAAGGTTATTCGCAAATAATGTACATTTCATGTTTTTCATGAAACTATCTTGCAATAAATACATCAATGTTCTCTTAAGCTATCATCATTGAAATTTCAAAGCCCTTGTTATATTTCTTTGAAAGAAGATATTTTTAATCAGACCTTCTGATTGTCAATATCATTTTTACAACAGCCAGTTTGATATTTTTTATATTAAAATGTTGCTTGTATTATAACCGCATTTATTAAAATGTATCTTTCTTATTTTTATAAAACACATTTAAAAGTAAAATTTAATCTAATTATATATATATAATATCAAGATTTATTCGTTCTAAAATATTGTATGTATTATTGAAGCGTTGACATTTTGTGGGGTAAAAATCAATTCCAAATTGATGGTAGAATCTGTAATTGAAAACGCTGGTGGATAATGCCGTATTTGGTCGCCCTACACAAGTACGGCACGAATTAATGACCTTACCGGCCATGTAGGAAGCCGATTCCACGTCATTCGATCGTGATACGTCTGGCCGATTCATAAACTACCCTCGAGCGGTACCCTCACGCGGCGTGGGCGTTTTGTACGCACGGTAGCAGGGCTCGGTACGCGCGGTACGTTCCGCGTGTGCGTGACTTCACGGCGCGTTAACGGAAGCGGGTAAAGCGTCGCGCGTACAATCTGATTGGCCGATCCTTCTCGTAATTGCCTGTAGATCCCAATCGCGATTAGTCGGGAAATTAATACGATCCTAGGTTCGCGATTTATGTGACCCACCCGTGGATTACGCACGCACCGTGTCGGTAACTCGTGCGTAACCGCAACATCGTACAACGCCTAAGGATCTGTCTAAGAGCGCAAACGCGCTCTTCGTGTACGCTAACTCTTCGTTTATCGTTGACGATCGCGCGTCTTGAAACGTGATGTTACGCTGTTTCCGCGATGATGGTCGTTTGCAGGATAAACACATGTTAAGAATTACCAATGAGATTAGTTAATTCTTTCGAAATAGATAGAAAAAAATTGTTGGTCGCTAGTTAGCATTACTTATTAATTAAGTTTGATTTTTCACAGTTTTGTTGCATTTTATCAAGAGACACGAAATCATACAGAATTTGTGGATTACTTTAAACTGTATTGCCAAGTTCATTCGTTTTACAACATTACAGAATTATGTTATACATATGTATATGTGTATGTATATTAGTATAGATAATTTTATTACTCAAAAATGACAGCAATATAAATTATAAATATTAAAATAATTTTTTAGATTTGTTATAAAATTTACAAATATATTTTCAGAATTTATCGCATTGGGCAACTGGATGGATATATTTTAATATGGTTGTCAATGAGAATGGTGGACCAAATTGGACTGGCAATTTGGCGGATTCACCTATTATCGTAAATATCGGAAAACGATGAATTTTATAAACAGCCCATGTATTATGCAATGGCTCACATCAGCAACTTTGTGCCACGTTTTTTTCACAGAATTTCATTCACGGGCTTTGAGAATAATCATAACATTAGCACAATTGCGTTCTTGACTCCCGAAAAGGAAATTGTTGTTATAATAATTAACAAGTTAGTAGAAAAATTATTTATATAACATATTGATAACACATATTATACAAAATGTTCTAGAAGAATTATTTTTATCCAAATTTAGAAACTTTTTCAATTTTTTTGCTATAAACTGGCTTTTTTAGAATAATCTACTAAATTTCTTAAAATAAATCATTCGAAATTTTCTCTTACAGAGGTGATGAACCTGTCAATGTGACAATCAAAGACAATAATGCAAACAACAAAATAAATATACGTCTATCTGCAACTTCTTTCAATACTTTGTTGTATTTAGCATATCAGTAGTACTGAAACTGATATTAATGATTTACTTTCACTATTACTATTACTGGATTACTGATATGTATGTTTCAATTTATAGACAGAAAATATAAATCTGCAAAGTATTTCTTGTTTTTTTATAAAGATACAACGAATACAATATATTGTATAATATAATATACTGTACCATACTAAAATTGTTCAGAGAGAAAAATAAAAAAAGCAAAAATCCACGAGCGAGGGAGAAGGAAAAAAGTATCGGGCTCATGGTTGACGAATCGCGTAGCGTTAAAGGGTAGCCGATACACCATCACCAGTGACTCAGGTCAACAGGCATTGTCCGGCGGAATTACCACCAGCGGGACCCTGTGATTAAATGCTACTGCACCTCCGTCTCTCGTTCTTGCAAGAAGATCCGGAGAGGAAGCGAAGAGAGAGAGAGAGAGAGCGCGCGATTAATGGAAGCAGTAAGGGGAAACCGGAGACGGAAGAGGGGCGGTTGAGGAAACAGAGGGATACGTACATACCTATATGAGGGCTGCTGGTTCTGCCATCCGTACATGCATACCTATACCTTGCCGAACCCCTTGACCCTTACCCCTGCACGGAGACGGGATAATGCCCATTGTTTCGAGCATCCTACGCATCCTTGGTCCAGGATGCGATACCAGGAAGCCTTCCTCGAATGCTTGCACCGTGATACGATACGTTCAAATGGCACCTAAATACCCACCTAAATACGGCTACAACTGAATCCTCCGGCAAGTTTCCGCCTCGCCCGATCCCACTTGAGGACCGTCGGATACCTGACGACGATCGGCATTCAGGTGCAAATTGGGCACATGCGGTCGTGAATGTCATCTGCGATTTTCGACCTTCCCGAATGCTTCGTCGTGTTTGTTACGGCGCGTCTCGTCAGATGGAATTCGCGCTAATTATTGAATACAATTAGTTGCAAGTGAAACAAATAAGAATACATTATTATTTTTAATAGAATAACAGTTAAAAATATAAGTAACAGTTATAAAAAGAAGAAATTAATATAAAAGACAAAACTTTTGTTGTTGACACAATTTAACGATTCTGAAAAATAATATAATGGATTCGCATCATAAAATATATACTTTCCTAAAAATATAAAATTCATGCGGATAAAACGTTATTAATTGCAATTTATTTTAAAATTAATTAAAGCTATCAATAAATTACTAAAACTAATTATATGAGGTAGAAATACAAAATTATAAATATAGATAAAAAATCACATGTAAAATAATTGTCTTTTAAAAAAATATTTATATAAATATTTATATAAATATAACAAAGCGATAAAGCAATAGGCAAATGTGAAAAAATAATACACTTTGTAAATATTTGTTGTAAACGATTTTTATGTACAAATATGACCAATGTTTATACAACATATAGTTATACGTCCATTTTCTCAATACTATATATTGGCTACTCTATTTACAAAACTTATTTGTTTCTCGTGTTAGAAATATGCATTTTATGTGCTGCGTGGCAGTGTAAGTTTTTCATGATCTTTTAGATCCATGGCCCCAAACGACTCTCGAGTACATTGGCCGCGTCGACGCGTCCCATCAGTCTTAAATGGTTCAGTAAATCTGCTAGAGCCGTAGCTTCACGATGTCTGGCTTCCCATAAATCCAGAATATGTTCTGTTGGACTCGCCTTCGTCGCGAAATAGTCGACATATCTGTTAAAATATCACGATTTTAACAAATCTGCAAAAAGAAGGATACGCAAAAGATTCTCCAGAACTCACCGATCTACTTGCAGTCTTTGAGCCAACATTCGCCAATCATTGCCGCGTGCACTAGGTGGATCCAAACATTGACATAGTTGTTTTCTAAGCGTCTTAGAAAATCTGTGAGAATCAAAATAAGATTTTTACACAAAGCCACAAGGCTTTATCGTGTTTGCTATTATTGTCAAGAATAAGAAAGTTTGACAAACAAAACATAAATTATTTTTTACGCGCAGAAACAATTCGTAAGGCATCGTATATTATAAAAATAATTGCATAAAGTACCTGAAGGGTCTTGGTATGACAGATTCTGTAGACCTCGTCAGATTTTTTCCCCGTAGAACAACAGAGGATTCCGTCTTATTACCATTTCTCTTTCCACTCATGTTGTTCCTTTTTACAAGATCAAGATCGATTCTGAGAAGTAAACCTTGATCCTCGAAACCACGTTGACAAGCACGAAGCTCAAAGCCGAGTTTAAAATCGCCAATAATTTTTTCTATTCTAAACGAGCGCCGGATGCTGATCCTCGAGGATGCCCAAATGCGCCGGTAAGGTACTTCTTGTCGCTCGGCAAAACCGCTTTCTCTGTCTTCAAGATCTACGCGAAGCGAAGTGCCGCTGGCGCGAAATCCAAACGTACCGTGATCGATATGAGTGCCACCCAAGCGACGTTCCTGCGCAAAAATTATACGCAATTCGCGGAAAAAATAAAAAAATTATAAGAACTATATTTATATTTTCCATGTAGCAAACACATTCATGACACACTTTTCATTTTAAAATATATTTTAGACTCACTTGTTCGCTAACGAGTTTGAACGACGCCTTGGTATCCTCCAATACATGACACCTGATGTGGTCACGTTCGCGAGAGACGAAAACCGCCATACAGAGGCGTTTTACGGCCAAACCGGGCGCGACCACGGAATTTTCACCAGCCACCGCGTAAACGCTGGGAGTTTCTGTGACGAGAAATACGCCGGCGTGATCGAGCTGCGCGAACGGTTGACCGGGCAAATTCGTCGGATCGCCGCCGAGCATCAACACCTTGCGCCACGCTGTCACGGCCGGTGAACCAGCTGAATTCACCGACGAGCTCGTAGAGTTATTCGAACGAGTTTCCAAATCGATGTCCGCGGACCACAAGCTCAGCTCCCAGTTGCCGGTCCTCAATTCGGCGCAGTGCTCGAACTGAAGAATCACAGGCTTCACGAGATCGATGCCTGCCGGACCGCAAACTACCACGGCGGACAACAAGGTGAGTCCAGGCGGAAGATTCGGTCTAAAAGAATTTTCTCCGAGAACGGCAAGATGCAGACTGTGCCGACGACCGCGAGGAATCGCACCTTCCGGCACGGACATCGAGACGCCCACCTCAGGTACGACAAGAAGAGCGCCTTGCTCGTCGATTACGGCACGTACGATAAAGCCGCTACCGTCATCCGTCGCGGATCGTTCGTTCTCGTCCGGTCTCTCGTCATCGTCCTGTTCGTCGTCGTCCTCGTTGGTGCTTTCCGGATTCGCTCGGTATGTCGAGCCTGAAAAGTTATATAAACAAAATCTACCGTAGATGAAATATAGTATTCTCTTTCATCCGTGCGTGAAAATGCATTTAAATTTGTCAAATATTTTTACAATATTTATATTATATTTTTACAAGAGTATTTTTTAACTTTAATTAATTGCAACAAAAAATCGAGATACTCGCTTTCGGATTATTTGGTAGAAAAGCAGATTTATCGAATACTGATTATATAAAGAGCTCTCGCGTTCTCGAATTTATGGGTATTTCTTACGGGAAGACCGTCCCTCCTCATTATCCGATATGCCGCGTCCTCGTTGCGAGTTCTTGCAAGAAGACCTGGTTACGGAGGAGCTTGGCGATGGTCTCGTTGTCGACGGTAATGACAATTGTGGAACGTCGTAATGATGCTCAGAGCAGGATCTGCACATTGCACCGACGAATCGTGAAATTATGTAAATGTAATGGGATCCACAACCGTGGATGTATTATTATTCTTGTTATTTCAATTTAATACACAAATCTACCTGGGCAACCTGGCGGCATTCGACTCATCAATCACATGTTCGAGACGCCTATCGCTAGGCAAGACGGAGCGCTCGTTTTTAGAAACGACCGATTTTGCGAGATCACCCGGACGACGGAAATCCAATCTCGCAACGCCGTACAACGCCTCCATTCTTTCTTTCCGGCGCATCAAGCGAACGAAGAAAATTGTCGTTACGGCCAAAATTATCGCGGCTAAGCTTAAAGTGATCCACAATGCGAGGATATTTCTGTGATCGACTGCTCTAGTCGCTATAAAAAATTTTTTTTTAATTTAAAGAAAAACATCTTAAAATAATTCAACCTTTTTTTTTTTTTACCTTCTTTAAGTACTCTTGGCCCATCTTGTCCAAGTGCTGCATACGACGAGAAGGAAAATGTGTTTTTAAATCATTTAAATAATTCATTTTAAACGATAAAGTTATAACGCATTATTTTACATGAGAATTTTACATCGAAATTACGAAATATTGAAGTATTAATCACTTTGGGAGGTCCTCGCAAATTTCAATTTCATCCGCCGGCATTTTATCGATGAATCATCGCGCATGCAAAGTCATCAAGTTTTACGAATAGCAATCAAATGCAGCGTTAAAAGGGCCGCTTGTTCCAAATAAATCGTTAGGCGTAGAGCGCGACTCGCGAAGAACAATAAGAAACAGAAACTCGGCTGGAGCTCACCATTACAACGATCCGTCGAACAGGACTCGACGATGATGTCCTTGCCTTGACAGGGACGACCGCCGTTGCTCGGCGGGGGGTCGTTGCAGGATCTCCTCCTTACTCTCGAACAATCAGGACCGCATACGGACCACGAGGACCAGGCCGACCATCTGCCGTCGACCGCTGCACGCAACGGGATGTGGATGAAAATCTCTCACGATTAAATTCGCGATTATCTGATTTGCGAGGCAGCGAAAGAATGGATACATCTGTACGCGCGTATCTTGATCTTACGGGGCGCTCAAAAGTTTTCGTGCGTTTCAGCGTAGGGTGCGTTTGTTAATTCCTATTCTATTACAATTCGTGGCGCTGCAGTATATTATTTCGAGTACCGCGCGAGTGAGTCTTTGTGGTCCACCTACCGGGGCAGGAAGGATTGCATTCTACTCTTTGTGTGGCTGGTCCTGGGCACGTTTGACCGCCGTTGATTGGAACGGGATTTGTACATGTTCTTGTCCTCTTTTGTACGCCTCTGCCACAGCGCACGCTGCACTCGGACCATCCGGACCAGGACGACCACCCGCCGTTCACTGAGAATGGATCGGGAAGAGAGAGAGAAAAAAAAAAGAGGATACCAGTGAAATTAAAACGGGAACAAATAACACCTTGTTACGCCCCGCGGCTCGAACAGCCCAAGACACGAGTGAGTTGCTTTATCCAACGAGACGCCAATTAAAAATAAGAAAATCAAAGTTTAATCAGCGTGAAATCTGCAAGCGCATCGGCCACGAATTTAATTCGTGACGACGAACTATGAGCAAGTGATTAATAAAGCACAGATGACTACATAATTATCATCTCAGGAATAATAAAGATAATTTGGCAACGTAAAAAGGTGGAAAAAAAATTACAATATAAAAATATAATAGATAAAAAATAAAGACAAGTCTAATTTTGTACGAAAGGTTACTGTGAAACCGCAGGCTTTTTAGCATCTTTATCGCCATCCACTTCCTCAATTATCAAACGCATTTATCGAACCGTTTCTCAACCGCATCCGTTCTGCGATCTGTAAAAGAAAATTGCTCACCGTAAACCGTGAGCACTGCTGGTTCGCTGACCCTCCTTGCGGCGAGGTTCTCAGCAACACAGGAATAGTTCCCTTGATGCCTCAATTCGGCCTCGCCGAGGAGCAGATGCCCGTCGGCGGATTGCACGAAGCCGTCCGCGGAGGACACCTCGTTCGGGTTCGCGTCGGAAGAAGCGGAAGCGGTGCCGGCGGCGGGCGTCTCGAGAGGCGAGCCGTTCCTCAACCAATAAACCTTCGGTGGTGGTATACCCAAAGGCGGCGAGCATCGCAATTCCGCGCTGCGGCCGACTTCCACCGACAGCGAGTATGGCGGTGACAGGAAGTGCTTCTTCAGATCTACATCGGCGGCGATTGGCACCAAGCGGTTTTTAATATTCGCTCGAGAACACATCGCTCGAGAGGACGTCGAGGAGGTGGAAAACAGAGAAAAGGGAAGAGTGGCACTCAGCGATATTAGAACGCGTACAAAACGCGAAAGAGCTTTCACGGCTCTCCATCAGAAAAAAAACGGAAAAAGATTTGCAGTGCGAAAATCACGGAATGCATAACGCGCCGGTCATTCGTACGGCCCGACTATCCACCGCGGCATTATTTGCCGCGCCACGTCCGCGCTCAAAAAGCCAGGCTTTCATATCGCTCGTGAAGAGCATAAGCAGCGGCCGAAGCCCGAGTATAGTGCCCCGGCGCGGCGGTTACGTGCTTTAGAAGCTGGCGGAATTCTATGCTGCGGTATGTAGATCGGACTGATGGATGATACGTCCGGCATCACAAAGTCCGCGTTATGGTCTATCTATGAATACGAGCGAGTCAAATGTATCCCGACTTATACTGCTTTCGAGATTTTTCCGTGTGATACGTTACACATCGAATACAATTTTGATTCGTTAATTTATTTTCCACGGATTTAGTAAAACATTTAGTGTTTTTTTTGATTTCTATAGCCTTTCGTATAAAAAATCGCAGAAATGACTCACCGCAAAAATCGTTGCTATCTCGAGCATCATTTATTCATATTTGTGAACAACAAAGCTCTAAATCGAACGTCAATGCTGCTATTACGTTACGCGTCGTCGTCCAAGCGAATTTCCAATCAAATGCGCGTTGTTATTGTCCGCTAAATTAACTGCCGGCACTTCGTTTATTTTGAAAATGGTATAAGATCGTGGCGCAGAGAATCGTCCTATGGCAATGGTACATATCGATTCGATCGTCGCCGTGCATTCAATTTCGAAAGCACGTCTGTTTTCTGTTTACACGCAAATACGGATTTAATTTTGCATCCTGTTTGCCACGCGTGTTTGCGCGGCGTGGTGCGACTCGAAATGTCTAAATGAAAATTGCTCTTGCACTGCACCTTTTACGAAGCGACTAGTCCCGATGCAATCACATCGTTATTGGAATCCCATACACAAAATACTAAAACACACTTTCGGTTATAGTTTATCGCGATATATATGCGACTTTATTTTAGCTTTGATAACCCACGAATGTTTCGCAATGAATAGCAGAGATCGTCCCCTGCCCCGTTTTCTCTCTCTGAAAAAAAAATGCAACGCTATTTCGAGGCTTACGCGTTCGCCGTCTCGTTTACGATAGAATATCGATTAGATTTTGTACTCGATTTGTGCATCACAGAACATGAAAATCGAATCGCGCTTGATGTCTTTTTACTTTATCTTCCAGCCGACGAGATGCGAGGGTAAACTTTACGTTGAGTGTCTTCAAACAAGTTACAGAAATTACATTAACAAAGTTACTAAATGACGGTATAATAAAATAACCGAGAGTACTCATCGTGTGATAAATGAAATATAATTTGCATGAGATATTCATCCAACATCTCTCGTGCGCAAATGTCGTCATCGAAAGGAATTATTGATAAATATAATTATGCATTACAACATAACAATATAATGCACGAACCGACAATTGTAATAATGCATTTTCGCAGCTCGAATTAGCACGTTAATTACCGCGGACGGTCTTCGAAGTAATTGTTACACATCTGTTCAAAGGCTTCGCACTTCCCCTCGTATTAGCGCGAGCGAAAGTGACGTAATCTTCTAAGTTAGAGCACCTCGTGTACCGCGGAAACAAGCGGCACGGTCATTACCGCAACAAGAGAAAGAAAATCCTTTCGTCGCGTCGGTAAACTGAACATTCAAAGAGAATCGAGGGAGGACAGGGGATACAGGATAGCGAAAGGAGCGAAAGAGAAGGACGAAAGAAGCGAAACAGAGTGGAGGGCTCTCTACTTACAGGCGACCTCAACCGTAGCGGGCTGCCCTCGAATTTGACCTGGTCCCGACCATGCCACGCACTCGCACTTGAATCTCTCCCTCCCGAAGTACTCCTCGACCTCGTTCCTCGTCACGTTCAACTCGACCTCGACGACCCTCGTTCCGGTACGAGGGTCGACAAAGTCCTGCTGCTGTGAACGCTCGGCTCGCTCGCCGTTACAGCGAAAATACACCTGCGAAGAAAAACGGCGGAGTTCCGCGTTGCCATGAAAGAAACAACTTGTCTTCGTTAAATTGTAGCTAAATGGGTAATAAGAACGAGAAAAAGAAAGGAGAGAGTTGCGAGCGGAACTCGAGACAGAAGGGACATAAAGACAAAGGCATCTTGTGAGAATCTTGTCCTCCTACCGAGGCTTGTGTGAAAATGTCGAAAAAATTATACTTCTGCGTAATGCAACTAAGATAACTTGTGATGTGCACCATAATAAAGAAAATATGAAACATAAAAAGAAATTTTTTAAATGCTAAAAATATGAATTAGGAATTATTGTAAGCACAATGCGTACCTGAAGAGCATGTGCAGCGCGGCAGTGCAACGTCGCCGGTTTGCCCTTGACGACGAACGTGTCAACGGGCTCCGCCAAAAAAATCGGCAGGGAACCCCCGACGATAAGATCGGTATCGCTTGTTATAGTCGCGGTCTCGTAGTCACCGTAATCGTAGTCATCCTCGACGGGATAACTCTCCTCGTCATCCTCTTCGGTGTCGTCCTCTTCTTTCGTACCTAGCGAGCAACGCAGGTACACGCTTATCCTTTTTGCGCGAGTGAAAAAGATCGATAATTCCGAGCGCTCCGCTCGCTCCGCTAATCCGATAGAGCCGTCAGCATAATCCCTCGGCAGTATTATCCATACGTCCCTAAATTTTTCATATCGGATCGATTGAATTAAATCGTCGCCGCGGGCCCGCGCCCGGTCCATCGGGGAGATTAAGCCGCGTCACCGCGATAAAACGAAGCGGCGGTTCCGGACGCGTTATCGGATTACTAATGGCGCATTACCGGATCCAATAACGTCCAACGACGATCCCTTATTACACCCTCGGATCGTCTTTTCCCGTAAGTGTATACGAAGAAGCGCGCGCGGTATATTTAGACGTCGAGTCGGACGCGATGAAACGGTGATGCGAGCTTAACAATGCGTAGCGGATTTTACGCCGTGTATCAGTCGGCGGGGTACGCTCACGCTCGGATCACTCGGACTTTACGCTTCGTGTTCGCCGTCTCGCTCCTAAGTCCTGCGGGAACTTTATTACACCGCGTGTAACTGCGACTCTCTTGTTTGACTCGCCGCAGTAAAGCCAACACCGGCGAACGATGATTACCCTCGCTGTCAGGCTCGTAAGAAAACATGTCACGATCCGCAATGAATGGGGCTTTCGCGAGAAACGCGAGGCGTAAATTTACGTCGCGATTTGGACGGAAATAAGTGAAATGAATTTTTCGTCGTTCTAAAAAGCACCGATAAATTTTTCCGCGTCGCAATAACTGTTGGTATTTTGACTAGAATTTTTTAACCGGTGCAATAACTGTTGGTATTTTGACTAGAATTGTTTAACCAATCGTTCTTTTGGATGCAATTAAAAGGTCGCGTATAAACACAATGAATAATTATTTTATATTTTTGTTTTAAATATATAATGAGTATGCAAAATGTAATTTTATACAAACTATTAACACTTAGAAAATTGATTAACAAACATTGAACTTATATTTTACTATTTATAATTTACTTACCTTCAAGCGTACTCCCAAGGCGGAGAAGCATTAAAAGAAGAATGCTGATCCTCAGCTCCATCGTTGCCTCACATCTCAAACCGGCGTTTTACTCGATGCCATTTACAATTAGAGAAATTACGCACAATAAACTTCATTCTCCATGCTGATACTTGTTAACGTCGCGCTTATCATCGCACGCTCTTGTGTGATTTTACAATCGGTAATTATCAAATTTTTTTCGTAATTTTATATAAATTCAATAAATATCCGCAACAATATGCCGTATATGATTGCTGGCGAATCGCGCAGCGAGACAAATAAAACTCGCCGTTGATCGAACAGAAGAAATCTCGATTGACTATTCGTCGTACACAAAATCCATGTGACAGATCCAACGATCAAGCGTCATATTCACCTCGCCTTCAAAGTTTTTAATTTGCAAAAGAGAATCTGTCTCTTTCCAAAAACCGCCATCGGTAATTACTCGCAGCTCTCCTCGTGGACTACATGACGAATCTGAACGAGGGTGCTCGCACTTGCATGGTTGCACTCGCGTTCGAGCGTGCGAAAGGGGGGGACACGTGACCGGCCTTCGAGCCCCTCGCACACGGTGGTGGCGAACGAAACGAGGGAAATGAGGAATTCTGCTAAAGGAGGGGTGGCTGCGCGATGCTCGCGGGTCGGCACGCGGTGGACGACTGAACTTGCCGACGTGCGCGCACCTCTATATATACATATATATACGTCTCACTTCGATACCGACGCTCTTCTTCATCCCCTTGTCGTCGGGGTGCTGCTGCTGGCTGCTGCTGCTGGTGGTGGCGGTATCTGCGGCGGCGGCAGCGGCGGCAGCGACGACGGCGGTAGTGGTGACGTTGGAAACGGTAGTGGTGGTGGTGGTGGTGGTGGTGGTGCCCGTAACGCCGGAGGCTGCGCTTTCTTCCGCGAATGTTCTCCTTCCGCGCTGATCGACAGATCAGTCTCAATACGCATCCCTCTGACTCATATCCGCTTCTATGAACGGTAGTCATTTCGTCCTTCATCTTACGCTGGCAAATTGAGTAATCTGTTTTTTTTTTTTTTTTAATTTATTTCACAAAAAGTGTATTTATAAATTTGTGTTTCGCGCAAGATTAATGACTGTAGAGAGGCATTCATTCTTGAAGCACTTGAGCCCTTTGTCGTACCGGAACATCGGTGACATCGAAGCTGGGAATAAAAGCTTGATTGAGAGTCACTTGTTTTTTTTAAGGAAGCTTCTATTTGTATAGCAAGGACATTTTCTCGAATAAAGCCAGGCACTTGCCGGCTTGCCGTTGAGCGCATTGTTGTGCTCAAAGCGTCGATACGTCCGTTCCTTGACGATTCAATATTCATCCACCCCCTTCATTCATGGCGCATCGTAAAGCCAGCGCCGTTAGCCTCGAGGTCATTGTTATCGCACCTCGTCTACCATCGTGGTACTTTGGTAAGGATCCAATGAATATCGCTCGAACGTCCGCACAATCGAGGAGGGACTCTAGAAGAGGATCTTTGCGAAAACATATGGGATTTCCTACGGTCGATCACTCGAACGTGAAATCGGATCCGAACCGCGAGAACGAGTTTAGACGCGTCGTCGCAGCTCCAACTTCACGACTCCGTGCGAGGGTGGGTTGCAAACGGTAAACAAGCTTCCGCCGAATCGCTTGGTTACACATCCAGGAAACCGATACCTTGTTGCTACTTGGCGTAAATAGATCAGAGAATGTGGAGCGTACCCATATCGCGTCGCGCCATTCCACGGGAGAAATCTTTGATAAAAGTGCGGTGTGCGATCCGTGTATGAATTTTTATAGACAATGTTTTACAGGCGATGTATACGGTGAATAAAATATTTGTACAATGGAGAGCAATATTTTCTGTCGTATGTAAATTAAGCTCGCACAATTTTATGCATTTATCAGGGAGCAAAATGGAGATGTCAAATTTGCGAATAATTTTCGAGCGACCGTCGCGTTTCCCAACCGACGCGTCTCGAATGGCAAAGCGCATTCGAGCATCCGTCCACAGAGTTCCGTTTCGCTCTGTTTGCCCTAAGCGTCTCACGACAAGCTCAACTAGACAAGAAGATCCCCGCGGCACTTGCCCGCCGTAATTAATGATACTCTACGGAAAGGATTAACGTGTACGCAAAGTATACGCATTAGTGCCCGGTCGGAGTTCGGCGTGTATCGCGATAACGTTTAAGGCGCTCCGCGCCAGGCATTAAGGTGGTCGCAAGCATCGAGCGGCCTTAATCCGGATCTATACATCGGTGCGCGCCGCGCCATTATGCATTATACTCACATGTATATCGGTTCGGCGCGACGTCGAAGCTTGACTTATGCCGATGGCCCTCACTCGCAGATGGTTATCTCTCGCCTTTACGGGAGAGTCGATCCCTCCGAGCTCCGTGCAAGCGTAGCGCGCTTAAGCGATTTAACGTAAACACACGTAGCAATTTGTCCCGGGCTTTATGTCGCCCTCGGGAAAAAGGAACCCACGCGCTTGTTCCGTATCGGTCAGGACGGTGCAGAAGAGAGAGAGAGAGAGAGAGAGAGAGAGAGAGAGAGAGAGAGAGA